TATGCCTATTTTCAAAAGGGTTAAGTGAATTTAATTTCAGTGCCCTTGAACTTGTATGGAAATGGTTTTTGTGTTAACATTTGAAAAAAGTTTTAAGTTGCTTTGACTTAAAATGAAAACAATAATTTCTTGCAAAACAAATTTTGAACCCTAAATATTATAACATCTAAATTTTGGCTGCAGCGGGGGGGGCATCCGTTGGCATGATGAACATTTTAGTTCTATGGTTTGTGGTTGCATGTTATTATATATAAATATTTTGATTTTAGATTAAGATTCATGTCAAAGGGTTTATATTTTTTCTTTTACATGTGTTCTTTTTTTTATTTTGATTTGTTGAAATAAGCCCTTCGTCAAGTAATTTTTTTGAAAAGCTTGAAACACATTGTGAAATAAACAAGTTCATGAGTATGTGCAGTTACGACATTTTTTGTAAGGCAAAGAATCTCAATTTACTTCAGTTATACAGTTTATTTCATATGTGATTTGGGAACACGTCAAACTGTTTGCCCGAGGTGGAGTGGGTAGTGTTTTGAACTGTTGCCCAAGGCTGTCGGCCCGAGGGCAACAGGTTTCAAAACACTATCCCCGACACCGAGGGACAATTGTTTGACTTGTTCCCAAATCACATATGCGTATAACTGTTTTATTACCTGATCAATTAGTGTTTTTAACCAGTACTTGCAGAAGATTAAAGGGAGAACAAACGAAATAGTTTTGACACATAATCGTTAATAATTAAAACTTAATACTTTTAACTATGTTCATTTCACATGTGGTTTATGATCAAACATCGATGACCCTTCAAAGTGGGGAATCCTCTTATGACGTCAAGCATGCAAGGGGAAACAGTCGAAACTATTGACCGGTTCAACAGTTCGCGAAACGTTTGACATTTTTAGAATATCCGAAAACAGTTAAAATACCAAATTACATTTATATAAGATATCAGGTAATAATATGGAATTAACAATTACCCATCAGACTGTTCCATTCTGGGTTTCGGTCATTTCATCCCTTGTTTATCATTCCACACTTTTTGGCTTGCTTGTCAAATCGGCAGCTTTTTTTCCATATAGAGGGATCTTTTTGTTTTTGAAAATACAGCTGCAAGGGTGGTACCTACCTTTTCTGATCAAATTCCTTCACTCTCACATATAGCTTGTCTGCAGTGATGCGTATATGTGCAGACACCTTGAATAAGAAAAAAGAAGGGAAAGTTGTAATTTACTGATAATTATTGTTAGATTTTTATTAACTTGTTAATTGTATACTGATTCGGGAGTAGAGTATGTTGTTGAGGGTATACACATTTAGAATGTGATTTTTAATTTAATTGTATCTGTTATGTAATTATAACTGAGCTTAAAAAATATAGAGCAATAGGGTAAACTGCTTATGTTTTTTAATGGGTTTATAAATTGACCTACTTGACCTATGTGTTTGTAACATCAAGCACATACCTCCAAATTATTTTGTTCTTTAATAATATTTTCAAACGGTATTGAAGCTGTTTAATTTTTTTCATGTTTTTTTGTTTTCTTTAAAATTGGTATGTTTTGCACTTTTTAGGGGTAAAAACATACTCCTTTTAAAAAGGAACTTACCAAGGGCAAATGAATTGACAAAAATTATTAAATGATCTTATGTTACTCAAATCACGCTAAAATGGCATCTTTTAAAGTCCAAGCAATTTCTGTATAAATTCTAAATATTTTGGGTTTTTGAAGCATAAATATATCTTATATATGTTGAATGAAATTTAGACGTCGAAAGAATCCCCGAGTAGTTTTATACAAGTCATGTGAATTGCAGACAAACCCTGGATGTTACAAAAACATATATTGTGGATATTATATGATTGAAACAAGCAAATTCGTTGAATTTATATCCCCCCGCCGAGCACTTGGTTTATTATTAACACAAACAACTGAAGACATAAGGCTTTATTTATATATTAATCATGGCATAAACTGTTAATATTCTTTGAACTTGAAGCCTTGTACCTTTCAAACAAGAAGAAGGAAAATCTATTGACCCCCTGGAGTGGGGCCAATTTTGTGACCCCAGGGCTAAATTTGAACAATTTTGGTTAGAGGACCTATATGTTTTTATATTTTATACCAAAATATCAAAGCCTTAGGCCTTGTACTGTCAGACAAGATTCTTTTAATTTTGCATTTTTGAAACTCCTTTTCTGGCCCTGTGACTGATGATTGTGATTGAAAATTACAAAATTTTTACTAAGTCAAGGGCAATAAACTCTAAAAATACTAAAATATCCAGACGAAAATACCCAGGTGCACAACTACACATACTGGATCAACATTCCTGCTAAAAGTTTCATGACTCTAGGTCAAATTACTTTTTGAGTTACAATGCGACACAAGTTGAAAATTACAAAATTTTACTAAGTCAAGGGCAATAACTCTAAAAATACTAAAAATATCCAGACGAATATACCCAGGTGCACAACTTCACATGCTGATCAACATTCCCTAAAGTTTCGTTGAATTCCAGCCATTATTGCAGAGAACTACTCCGGAAACGAAATTCGGACAAAATTTTACTGAGTCAAGGGCAATAACTCTAAAATACTAAAAATATCCAGACGAATTATACCCAGGTGCACAACTTCACATGCTGATCAACATTCCCATAAAAGTTTCGTTGAATTCCAGCCATTAGTTGCAGAGAACTACTCCGGAAACGAAATTCGGACAAAATTTTACTGAGTCAAGGGCAATAACTCTAAAAATACTATAAATATCCGGACGAAAATACCCAGGTGCACAACTATACATACTGATCAACATTCCTGTAAAGTTTCATGACTTAGGTCAAATACTTTTTGAGTTACATAGCGACAACAGTTGAAAATTTACAAATTTTACTAAGTCAAGGGCAATAACTCTAAAATACTAAAAAATATCCAGACGAAAATACTCCAGGTGCAACAACTTCACATGCTGATCAACATTCCATAAAGTTTCGTTGAATTCCAGCCATTATTGCAGAGAACTACTCCGGAAACGAAAAATTCGGACAAAATTTTACTGAGTCAAGGCAATAACTCTAAAAATACTAAAAATATCCAGATGAAAATACCCAGGTGCACAACTTCACATGCTGATCAACATTCCAATAAAGTTTCGTTGAATTCCAGCCATTAGTTGCAGAGAAATACTCCGGAAACGAAATTCGGACGGACGGACGGAAGGACGGACGGACAACGCCAAAACTATATCCCCCTCCCGATTCCATCGGCGGGGGATAACAAGTCTAAGTTATACATTTGACATGTTCTCAAAGGTTTCCGGAGTTCACTATGACAACTATTGTGAAATCTTAACTCTCTAACCTGACCCGCGCCCAGGGTCAGGTTAGGATAAACCACCATCTTTATATGGAGAAAAGTATTGACATTAACATAATTATGAATGAAAAATTCAAAAAACTTAAAAATGAAAATTAAATGCCCGTGTTTCCCTTAAATAGCATGGTTATTAGAATTGATATTTACATTCCATTTGGAATTAAAATTAAAAATGTCATTTTCATTGCTGTGAAAACCCAATACAAAATCAAAGACATACATTCCGTCATAACTGTGTAGACACTATGCAATCACTTGGCCATTTCCATTAAATATACTTCAAATATTAAGAAGAAGATCTAAAGTAATGGCAACAGTAGGGATTGCCACTGACGTATGATATTAATTATCAGGCATTCACTTTACTGACTGTGGTATAGCAGTTGTACTGATGACCTTATACTAAGCTGCACTCTCCTCAGCTTGTGTGACTTTCAAAACATTATTTATATACTCCATATTAATTATGGTAAACTATATGGACAGCTAGATGTGAAGTGGGATCGGATAATTAAATGAGTGCTATAATGTATTCATAAATGACAGGTCAATAAAATCAGTCTTTACTGCATTGGATTGATGCACGTTACTATTCTATATTACTTTGAAAGCAATATGGCCCATTTTTTTTCAGACTGCAATTTCTTCAGTCCTTCCAGTGAAATAAAGTGCCAGATATATTAATTTTAATTGATTGTGACTATTTCTAATGGTTTTTAGATAAATTTGGATGTCGACAATACTAATCTAGAACATGAGGCCAAGCATTCTTCTTGCCAGAATTTCAGCAAAGATATTCATTTGTTTAATTGTAGTTTTATTAAGTTAACAGTTGCCATTAATATATACCTCTTTATCTTTCGCCATCATGAAAACCTTCTGCAGAGCAGTACCAGAACTACTGTTTCCATTTTCAACTTCTTGTGGTAGACTACCACGTGTGGTGTGGTAGTTCAATATCCTACCACAGAAGTCCAGTAGTTCTTCATGTGGCAGGTCACAGGTGCTTAATATCTGAAATATGTAAATGTTAAATTGTAAAAGAGATAAAAGCAAGTTACCGTTTGGGCAAGCCTAAAAATTATCTTTGTATCCCCTCCTGCGACCCATGCCAATTTGGGAAGGGTAGGTAAGTCGAATGAAATATTGTTATATCCAAGAAATATTGTCTAACAAAATTATATGGATATATAAAAAAAAAATGTGAATTCTTGGCACCCATTTATTAGAACTTGTATATTTACAATAAAAAAAGACAGTTATAAATGTGTGACTCTCATTGATACTCTGCTTCCATGTTTCAATTTTTATTTATCTGTTTTTGGGTTTCTGTGAATTATGTGGGTAGTCAGTGGGAGAGGAAACAAACAGTATTTTTCAACTTGCGTTGAAATTGTCGGTTTGAACTTCTGATTCATATTCATGTAACAATAATATTGTGACATTCCATCTTTTAACCACAGCTTAAAATGCATACAATCTTATAAAGGAAGTGTTAGCATGGTTTATTCTATATTTGGTCTCGTTTTCATAATTCTACATAAAACAGTGTAAGATTGCTGGTTTTTTTTTTCTTATGAGCATATAATTAAAAAGTTTCTTTTTTTTAATCATTTATGCCACTGCGGTATCTGCGTGTGTGTGTGCATGAGTGCTTGTGTGTGTGTTCTATAGATTATATAGTGAACTTGATCTTGGTGATCTTGTTCTGAAAAATTGTCAGTCTAAATTCAACCAAACTTGGCAGGATTGTGATGGGCTTCAAAAATTGTTTGATGGCAACGAAAAGAAATTAGAAGAAAATATAAAAAAAATCATCTTCTTAAGACCTACCAGGCCCTAGGGTTTAACCTAGTCTAACATAATAGGCATGAAACATTGCGTAGTTTACCTATACCAAGATTGCACCAAATTAATCCTCTCAAAATTAGTGCTGCCCTTGGGGTCAATGATTTTTGTGTCGCCTCTACGGAGTAGTGGCGACATATAGGGGTCACTTCTCCGTCGTCTGTCTGTCCGTCTGTCCGTCCGTCCGTCACAAAACTTGTCCGGACTACTCCTCATAAACTACTGGTGCAATTTCATCCAAACTTTACAGGAATGATCAGTACCAAGTCTAGTTGTGCATATTGTCAGGATTTTCCGGTTCAATGATTTTTGTCAGAGTTATGGCCCTTTAATAATTTTTAATTTTAAAGTTTGTCCGGACTACTTCTCTTATACCACTAATGCAATTTCAATGAAACTTTACAGGATTGATCTGTAGCTCAAGTCCTTGCGCATATTGCACGGGTTTTCCGGTTGAATGATTTTTGGCCGAGTTATGGCCCTTTGATAAAAAGGTTTCTTTTTCTGTGTGTTGCCAGATACACAAAAGCTTATCCGGACTACTCCTCATAAACTACTGGTGCAATTTCATCCAAACTTTACAGGAATGATCAGTACCAAGTCTAGTTGTGCATATTGTCAGCATTTTCCGGTTTCAATGATTTTTGTTTTGAGTTATGGCCCTTTAAAAATTTTTATTTTAAAGTTTGTCCAGACTACTTCTCTTATACCACTTATGCAATTTCAATGAAAACTTTACAGGATTGAATCTGTAGCTCAAGTCCTTGCGCATATTGCAACGGGTTTTTCCGGTTGAATGATTTTTGGCCGAGTTATTGGCCCTTTGATAAAAAGGTGTTTTTTTCTGTGTGTTGCCAGATACGCAAAAGCTTGTCCGGGACTACTCCTCATAAACTACTGGTGCAATTTTATCCAAACTTTACAGGAATGATCAGTACAAAGTGGTTAGTCTAGTTGTGCACTGTCCGTCTGTCTGTCCGTCTGTCACAAAATTTGTCCCAACATGAAATTGGCCATCATGAGGCGACACATGTGATTACTGATCGCTCTTGTTATTATACATATCTATTAAAATGTGAAAAAAACTTTTGCCTGCAGGAAAACATCTCATTTTGAATGTCTTTTTACATGTGTACATGTTATGCTATCATCTTTTAAATAATTCAAATGGGTGGGAGTAAGCCTTAAGGTAAGGACCTCTATCCATAGAAATGGCAATCTGAGATATTCATGAATTGATAATAGGTCATAAGCTAATAAGAAAAGTAAAATAACAAATCTGCATTCCAAAGTTCAATATACAGCGATGTAATACAGTAAATATCAATTTTTTCTTGTCTAGTAAAACCTCTTTTATTTTTTAATTCAATGATAGCATTATTTTAACATTAGACAAAACTGCATTGTCTTTCATTTGACATGCTGAAATATAACCTTCACTCCTAAATTCACTGGACACTACTACATTATGGTGATGTTCCATTGTATAGAAACCAAAAAAGTCTATTCCTGTTATATATGCAGTGACATAGCATTTTTAGCTCACCTGAGCAATGCTCAGGGTGAGCTATTGTGATCACCCTGTGTCCGTCGTCCGTCGTCGTGCGTCGTGCGTCGTCAACTTTTCACATAAACTACATCTCCTCTGAAACCAATGACTGCACATCAACCAAACTTTACAGAAATGATCCTTGGGTGGTCCCCTTTCAAAGTTGTTCAAATGGTTCCGGTCTGTTGCATATGTAGGTCACAGGGCCAGAAAAGGATTTCAAAAAACACAAAATTAAAAAATCTTCTTGTCTGAAAGTACATGGGCCAGAGCTTTGATTTTTGGTATATGGTATCATCTATGGGTCCTCTACCAAAGTTGTTCAAATTTTGTCCCTAGTGTCAAAATTGGCCCCGCCCCGGGGGGGTCATTGGTTTTTCCTTATATGTCTATAGGTAAATCTAAAAAAATCTTCTTTCTCTGATTTGGCAAAGGCTACAGATTAGATATTTGGCATGAAACATTGTGTAGTAGACCTCTATCAAGATTGTTCAAATAATGGCCCTAGGGTCAAAATTGGCCCCGCCCTGGGGGTCATTGATTTTCATTACATACATATAGTGAAAACTTGAAAAATCTTCTGGTCTGAAAGTAAATGGCCTAGAGCTTTGATTTTTGGTATATGGTATCATCTATGGGTCCTCTACCAAAGTTGTTCAAATTTTGTCCCTAGTGTCAAAATTGCCCCGCCCCGGGGGTCATAGGTTTTTCCTTATATGTATATAGTAAAATCTAAAAAAATCTTCTTCTCTGATTTGGCAAAGGCTACAGATTAGATATTTGGCATGAAACATTGTGTAGTAGACCTCTATCAAGATTGTTGAAATAATGGCCCTAGGGTCAAAATTGGTCCCGCCCGGGGGGTCATTGATTTTCATTACATACATATAGTGAAAACTTGAAAAAATCTTCTGGTCTGAAAGTAAATGGCCTAGAGCTTTGATATTTGGTCTATGGTATCATCTGAAGGTCCAATAGCAAAGTTGTAACAAATTTTGTCCCTAGTGTCAAAATTGGCCCCGCCCCGGGGGTCATAGGTTTCTAATATGTATAAGTAGTAAAACATAAAAAAATCTTCTTCTCTGAATTGGCAAAGGCTACAGGTAAGATATTTGGCATGAAACATTGTGTGGTAGACCTCTACCAAGATTGTTCAATAATGGCCCTCGGGTCAAAATTGGCCCCGCCCTCGGGGTCATTGATTTTCATTATATACATATAGTGAAAACTTGAAAAAATCTTATGGTCTGAAAGTAAATGGCCTAGAGCTTTGATATTTGGTCTATGGTATCATCTATAGATCCAAAACCAAGTTGTTCAAATTTTGTTCCTAGAATAAAAATCGGCCCCGCCCTGGGGGTCATTGATTTTCCCTATATGTATATAGTAAAAACTTAAAAAATCTTCTTTTAAAGAACCCAAAGAGCTAGAGCTAAGATATTTAGCATGAAACATCTTCTAATGGGTGTCTACAAAGTTTGTTCAAATAAAAGCCCTGGGGTCAAAATTGGCCCCGCCCCAGGGGTCATTGATTTTCCTATATGCATATAGTAAAAACTTAAAAAAATTTCTTTGAAAGAACCCAAAGAGCTAGAGCTAAGATATTTAGCATGAAACATGTTCTAATGGATGTCTACCATGTTCGTTCAAATAAGAGCCCTGGGGGTCAAATTGGCCCCGCCCCGGGGGTCATTCATTAGCTCGACTTTTTTTTTTTAGGATATATACATATTATATATATACATACATATATATATATATATATACATAATATATATATTATAAATATATATATACATATGTAATTTATATATATATATTATATATATACAATATACATACATACATATATTATAATATATATATATGTATTGCATTTTTTTGGTGTGTGTGTATATATGAAATATATATATATATATATATATATATATATATATATAAGATATATATATATATACAATATATATATATATCTTATATATATATATATATATATATAAATATGTATGTATATATATATATATATATATATATATATATATATATATATACATACACACACACATATATATATATATATATAATATATACATAATATGTATACATATATATTTATATATATATATATATAATATATATATATATATATATATATATATATATATATATATATACATACACACACACACACACACACACACACACACACACATATATATATATACATTATATATATATAATATATACATAATATGTATACATATATATTTATATATATATATATATATATATATATATATATATATATATATATATACATAAAAAAATCTTCTTTTAGAAAACCCAATAAGCTAGACCTTAGATGTTTAGCATGAAACATCTTCTAATGGGTGTCAACCAAGTTTGTTCAAATAAAAGCCCTGGGGTTTAAACTGGCCCCGCTCCGGGGGGCCTATATACAGGTGAGCGACTTTGGGCCATCATGGCCCTCTTGTTTTACGAAATGCAATCTTATTATTTTTTTGTCAATATGCTTTAAATTTCTCATGGAAGTGAGAATATTCTGATCTCTCCTTCATTTTCATTAAGTTTTTATACCCCCAAAAACGAAGTTTGGGGGGTATATAGGAGTCACCCGGTGGTCGGGCGGTCGGGCGGTCGGTCGGTCGGTCGGTCGGTCCAGACGTCCGTTGCATTTTCCTTGTCCGGAGCATAACTTGAAAACTAATGGTTGGAATTCAATATAACTACATACAATGGTCAAGCACATTGAGAGGAAGTGCAGTGCACAAGAACCATAACTCTATCTTGACTAATTACAGAGTTATTGCCCTTTGTTACTTTTCCTTGTCCGGGGCATAACTTTAAAACTACTGGTTGGAATTCAAAACAACTTCATACAATTGTCAAACACAATAAGGGGAAGTGCAGTGCACAAGAACCATAACTCTATCTAAAGTAATTACAGAGTTATTGCCCTTTGTTGCTTTTCCATTGCTTTTTTTTTGTCCGTTGCATTTTCCTTGTCCGGAGCATAACTTGAAGACTAATGGTTGGAATTCAATATTACTACATACAATGGTCAAGCACATTGAGAGGAAGTGCAGTGCGTAAGAAACATAACTCTATCTTGACTAATTACAGAGTTATTGCCCTTTGTTACTTTTCCTTGTCCGTGGCATAACTTGAAAACTACTGGTTGGAATTCAAAACAACTTCATACAATTGTCAAACACAATAAGGGGAAGTGCAGTGCACAAGAACCATAACTCTATCTAAAGTAATTACAGAGTTATTGCCCTTTGTTGCTTTTCCATTGCCTTCTTTTTTTGTCCGGACCATAACTTGAAGACTAATGGTTGGAATTCAATATACTTACATACAATGGTCAAGCACATTGAGAGGAAGTGCAGTGCATAAGAACCATAACTCTATCTAAAGTAATTACAGAGTTATTGCCCTTTATTACTTTTCTATTGCTTTCTTTTGTCCGGACCATAACTTGAAGACTAATTGTTGGAATTGATTATAACTTCATACAATGGTCCAGCACATTGAGAGGAAGTGCAGTGCACAAGAACCATAACTCCATTTTGACTTATAACAGAGTTACTGCCCTTTGTTTCTTTTCCTTGTCCAGAGCATGACTTTAAAACTACTGGTTGGAATTCAAAACAACTTCATACAATGGTCAAGCACAATAAGGGGAAGTGCAGTGCACAAGAACCATAACTCCATCTTGACTAATTACAGAGTTATTGCCCTTTGTTACTTTTCCTTGTCCAGAGCATAACTTGAAAACTACTGTTTGGAATTCAGTACAACTTCATACAGTTGTCAAGGACATTAAAAGGAAGTGCAGTGCACAAGAGCCATAACTCCATTTTGACAAAATACAGAGTTACTGCCCTTTGATACTTTTCCTTGTCTGGAGCATAACTTAAAACGTACTGGTTGGTCCGAATTCAAAACAACTTCATACAATGGTCAAGCACAATAAGAGGAAGTGCAGTGCACAAGAACTATAACTCTATCTTCAGTATTTATAGAGTTATTGCCCTTTGTTCTTTTTCTTTGTCTTTCTGGACTTATTACAGAGTTATTTAATTAAACGTCATCAATGGCCAACCACATTGAAAGGAAATGCAACATACATGAACCACAATTATCTTTAATTGCCCACAACCATAACTCTGTTTCAATTCTTTTACAAGGTATTCTGTTACTAGTAACATCCTCATTTCCGAAGCAGACTTGTGGGGGTATTAATCACATTTAGTGATAGTTCTAGTTTAGCATATAAAATAATCTGATATTTTTTTTTAATGTACCAACTTTCTTTGCCAGCATACATGGAATTGCCACACCTTCTAAAATTCTTAAATCTCTGATGTTACTGGTTCTGAGTACCTCTACAATGTCATGAACGTCTTCTCTTCTAATGCCATGCGCAAAGTTGATGAGTGTTGGAAGAGCTGCTGATGCCCTCTTCTCCAAGGCTGGACCCTCACCAACATGGGTTACCTTCTTCACTTTTTCGAATGGAATCAAGCACACTCTTGAATAGTACCTATAAGTGAAAAAATAATCCAGCTGAATATGGAAATTCTAGTGTTTAAAATTTATCAAAATGGTTTTTGCCAGTTATAGATTACGTACAATGAATACAAAAAAGAAGTTTTTTTCCTGAAGGATATGATTTCTTATTTCTTGTATTGCCTGATACATTTTTAAGTAAATCAATTGTCTGTCATCTGCCAGTCTGTGAGTCTGTCCATCCATCACAAAACACTAAATCTACTGGTGCAATTGCATCCAAACTTTTCCGGTTTAAGTCTAAGCTACACATATTGTTGACATTTTCCTTTTCAATTATTTTGTTAGAGTAATAGTCCCTTAAGGAAGTTTATTATTGTTTATTATTTATTTTTTGTCCGGAATGTAATATTATTCTCACACACCCATGCAATTTTAGATAAACTTTACAAGGTAGTTTGGTAGTTCAAAGTCTTGAGCATATTACACAGGTTCGTTTGAATGATTTTGCCTGAGTTATGGCCCTTTAATAATAAGGTGACAGATGCTTTAACCAAATAGGGATCAGGTTTTTTGTGGATTGGTCTGCCTGGCTGTCACCAAACATGTCCAGACATACATTGGTTTATAATTTACTGATTCGATTTAATGCATGCACTAAACAAATTGTTCCAAAAGGCCTGTATAAAAATATGATTGTGTTTTTTTGTTTTGTGTCAATGCTAAATGGTTGAAAATAATAATGTTAATAATAATAAAAAATATTGATGTAATAAAATTTTTTGGAAGATTTTTTTTTTGTTCAGGAACATGTATTTTATTTATGGAGATAAGTAATTTAGGAACATTTATGGAGATTTAGGAACAACCCTATCTGTATCAGGAACTTACTATAAGATTTTTGGAACAAATATTGTTTAGTTGAAAACTTGTAAAGTGTACATGCATTTGTCCAAAACTAAAAGTTATGTCCTCTTGCTTAGGAGAGGTTGATGGTCACTAAGAAGGCTCAAGCAATTAAAGTTTTGAAACTAATAATACTTCAAAGGTTACAAGAAATAAATGGGCATTATGGAAAATAAACCAAGTGTGTGGCAGACAAAATGATAATGGCAAGATGAGCAGGATTATAGCTCTCCTGATGATACTAGTATAAATACAAATGTTGTTGTTTTGTGAATAGCTAAGGTCATTAATGGAAACAAATATGTTATTTTAGAGCCTTTGGTGAAATGACTATATTGTTTCCATTTAACTCTCACAGGTAGTGTTTCACCAAAAGGAAGTGGGTGCTAATTGGAACTACAAAAATTTGCTAAAAATTATAAATTTTTTGTTATGATCTAATGCATAATACACGTCAACTTTTTATTGTGATTTTACTTTATTGTAGTGTCATGATTTGTTATTTCATAAATAAAGATATTTGGATTATTTTTTATTTCTCATTATTGGTGAGATCTATATATTGTCATGGGAACTTGCAAATAAGTGGTTGGTGTTCTGTATAACTTAAGTAATATCAAACATGCCATTTTAGGTTAACATGTATACTTAGATGGTCGGTTCAGTATATGCCGGATACATCAAAATGAGTGACTGAAATTTTTGAATTTCAATGTTTTCTCATCTCTTAAACAGAATTTAATGTGAAATATGCGAGTGATTAAAGATTATCAATAGTTGCTTACTTTTCAATTTCTGAGAGGCTGAAGTTTGCAGTGACTAGGCAGCCTGAAAGGGGTGTCTTAGCATCTTCCTTAAACTTGCCCCGGAATGCTGCGTTGCCAAGGTCGATGCAAACTTGTTTTACTTCCTGCTCTTTTGTCGGGTCATCCCAAACTGATGGAAATGTTGAAATGGCAAAACAGTCACTGAGGAATGCCTGGGTGTTTCTGTGGAGATAATGATTTTATTTCAGTAATAAGTACAATTCCTTTTGCTATTGAAAACAAAACCTGACATAAGTTTTGCTTGACTCAGTTAACACAACACTGATTGCTTATATATTGTTTAAGTCAGTTTTAGCACTTTATACAAAAGATATGATTACTCTTACCAAATGCCTAATGCCTTTAATGTTTTATCATAAAGTTTTAGCTATATTCTGAGAATCTTGTTTTGAGTATTACTCCTATTATATACCATTTTATTGAAATCTATTTCTCTAACAAAACCAATCATTTGTGACCAAAGTTCAAAGACAAATTCAGTCACTAGGAGCACCTTACTTAATGTACATTTTTATAGCCTCTAATTGTTAATTGAACACCTGTCTTCAGTTAAGAAGATAGTGCTTGCTCCCTGATAATTGAGTTATCTGCTTAAAACAGTCACAAAATGATATATTTTCATTGACTGCCTAACCCTTCTATTTTTCTCTCACCCTATTTTGGATATTTTTTTTGGTGGTAATTTTGCCCTATTTGTTTTGTTTTTTCTGTAATTATCTTATAGATACATATTAGCATTGTGTTCCATCCTTTATTTACCATTGTGTCTTACATAGCCGTGCCTTGTTTATCTCTGTTTTACTAAATTTTGTTTTTACTAAATTCCACACTATCAACACTATCATGAAATAAGTTTTTTTCTTAATTGAAATAGAATTATTCCAATTTATCATTTAGTCATCATTAATAATTTTACATGTAGTAACGTCAACTTACACCATAAAAGTAATCTTATTACAAAAGTTCTTTACCTTGAACTGATCTGGTTCTTCAATATGCCCGTTATCAAGGCAACACATGATGCTGTTAATGTCTTTCCAGACATGGGTGGCCCATACAACACTGGCAAATTGAAATGGCCAATCTCTTTGTGAATCCCGCCAAAGTTCAACATTATATGTTAGTTATTTCATAGAACAACCATGCTGAAAACTAAAACATACCCAGAAAAAGAAGAATATTCGGTAAGAAATGAATACTGGAAACATATACTTTTAGTATCATTTCAGATGGTAGAACGCTCTAGTAAAGAAATTAAAAGCAGTTTTTATGAATCCATTTTCAGATGCATGAAAATGTATATAAATGTTAATATATGTATTCAGTTACTCTACATTGTATGTACTTGATATGTGTCAAACTGATTCTTTACTTTTGCTTATACAGGAATGTATACGTGTAATGGATTAAAGATCAAGATTGGAAGATTTAATATTCCAGGCCAGACATGCTTTGACTTTACAAAACTAGAAATCGATGATTATTGAACTCTGACTTGGCCTTGATTGCAAGTTACAGCCATTACTGAGTGTTTCATCATCTGGCAATTTTACAAACAAACTTTGTGAAATATAATATAGATTTATACTCTATAGAACTTAGTTTCAAATTTTAGACTGTAATTAATTATACTCCGTCGAATTTAGTAAAAGGTAAATTTTCAATTGGCTTTAAAAATGTCAAGAAAACCTGCCTGGTGACAAGGGACACACACTCATATTTGTTTTGGATGCAAATTCTACTTTTTGAACAAATTGCATAATAGTAAATTTTAAACAGTTTGCTTAAAAGTTTCTCATAAAAAGATATATCAGGTGATAAGAGCTACTTGAAAAATGTTAATGTTTTTGGCTAATACACTTATCAAAGTTAGATATAGGTAAATATTTAATAAATTGGCTTCAAAATTTTTCTTTTTCACCAATTACAATTTGGAACATTTTGTCTGACAACGGAATACACCAAAATGGAAATAATTTGGAATAAAACAGTAGTCAGTAATCAGAAAGTTAACTTAATGCAGATTGAATATGCCAGGCTAAGAAAAGCTTTGATTGACTTTACAATGCCAGAAATCAATGATTATTGAATGGTAACTCGGCCTTGATTGCAAGTTACAGCCATTACTTTATTTTTGATTTTCTGGCAAAATAAATTTATAGACAAACCTTGTGACATAAACCACTTTGTATTTAATCATTTTTTTTCAAAATTCTACATTTTATACTTTAATTATACTCAATAGAATTAAGTTAAAGGTAAATTTCCAATGTTTGGCTTTAAAAAGTGTCAAAAAGCATGCTTGGCAACAAGGGACACTTATTTGTTTTGGATGCAAATTATCTTTTTTGGACAATATACTTTATAAAAATTGCATCTTTATAAAAATTGCATAAATGTAAATTTTAATTTTAATCAGTTTGCTTCAAAATTTCTACTAAAAGGAATATCAGGTGATATAAGCTACTTACTAGCTTTAATGGATTTAAAATTTATGATTTTGGTTAGTAGTGTTATTAAATTTGAAAAGTCTGACTGGAATGCCCCAAAATGGAAGTAATTTGGAATAAAACAGAAAGTTAACTTTATACAGTATATACATGACTGTAATGGCGACCAAATCATTGATTCAGGAAAGGTGGTTAAAGATCAAGATTGGCAGATTGAGTATGCCAGGCCAAGAAAGGCTTTGATTGACTTTACAACACCAGAAATCAATGATTATTGAATGGTGACTCGGCCTTGATTGCAAGTTACAGCCATTACTGTGTGTTTGATCGTCTGGCAATTTTATAGACAAACCTTGTGACACAAAACACAACATTGTATTTAATCACATTTGTTTCAAAATTCTACTTTTAGATTATAATAATAAATTCTGCTCTACAGAATGAAGTTAAATGTTAATTTCCAATTGTTTGGCTTTAAAAATGTCAAAAAAGCATGCCTAGTGACAAAGGACACTTAATTTGTCTTCTTTTAGGACAATATACTTTATTGAAATTGCATAAAGATAAATTTTAATCAGTTTACTTAAAAATTTCTCTTAAAAAGGAATATCAGGTGAAATAAGCTACTTAAAGTAACAGTAGCTTTTTATGGGTTTAATTAATGTTAATGTTTTTGGCTAATACTCGAATAAAAATTTCATAGAGCTAAATTTTTAATAAATTGGCACCAAAATTTCTCTTAATCATCTGATATAATCTTGAACTTTTTGGCTGACAACTGAATACACCAAAATGACAATAATTTGGAATAAAACAGTAGTCAGTTAACAGAAAGTTAAAACAGTTTAAAACATGACTATTATATCTTGCAACGAAATCATTGATTCAAGAAAGCTGGTTAAAGATCAAGATTGGCAATTGAATATTCCAGGCCAAGGAAGGCTTTGATAGTCATTACAATGCAATCAGTGATCATTGAATGGTGACTCGGCCTTGATTGCAAGTTACAACCATTACTGTGTGTTTGATCGTCTGGCAGGTTTATAGACCTACCTTGTGACACATGTCTCTTTGTATTTTATTGCTTTTGCTTCAAAATTCTAATTTTAGACAATTATTATACTCTGTAGAAATTTTTTTTAAATGTTAATTTTCAATTGTTAAGCTTAATAAAATTTCAAAGCATGCCAGGTTCAAATTCACCTTTTTATGGCCCTGTGCCTCCCAAACAAGGTCACACTGACTTCAAAGGAAATTTTTAATAAAAATATACTGATTTTGTGTCCAATGAACAATTTTGTCATTAACAGATGGAATTAAGAATTTTTAATTGATATCAATTTCACATTTTATTAATAGTCAGAAACTAAGAAAATTAATGAAGTTAAGAGGATACAGTAAAAACCCGCTTTACAACCACCCCGTTTTCGAGACCAACCCGCTAATGAGAACGATTTTTTTAAAGACCCGATTTTTTTATTCTTTATTTCATTGGTCGCCAATCCCGATTTTGAGACCACCCCGTTATTCCGTAATACGACCAGTAAATTCAGTCCCATTTCGTAAATTATGTACATTTGGAAACCAACAAATACGACCGTGGGCACTTTCTCACCTTGATATTGATGTGCATTGTATATTGCTGAAATCCTTTTGACACGTGATGTAAACAACAGTTGTCCTAGTTTTACGACATTTAACGACATCCAATTTATGGCAGAGGTCATGGTTAATTTGTGTCAAACCCGTAACTAATCAATAATTGCCAATAATTTCTTAATTTCACACCTTTAATGTCATAATTGTAGGTTTACAATAACAAAATATTGAACAGAAAACTTTCGCTAAGTTTTTTAGAGGTGTTGTCTCTATCATTATCTCTTTTGTTTTATAATTTAAACAAACATAAACGTGATGCAATTATTTTTTTAAGTTGTTATCGGCGATAAAACCTGTGGAAATAATTAAAGGTTAATTGGTCGTTTTGTTTTATAGTCAATTGGCGATTTTCATCAGTCTTTAATTGAGTAAGTTGTATCATTTATAAAGATAAGTTTGTGTTCAAAGACATTTGTAATACATTTTATATCTTTAGAGAAGTTTAAAAATTGCATAAAGTCTACTTGAGCTGCACTTTGAAATAATGAATAGGAAACGTAAAGAACTTTGTCTTCAAGAAAAAATGCATTGCCTGGTTTTCAGTTTGACCAAACTCATTAAAGAGACCAACCCGCTATTAAGACCAGATTTGCAAAGTCCCTTCAGTGGTCTCATTAGCGAGTTTTTACTGTATATCTAATATAAAACCAGTATGTCTGACAAAGAATTTGTGCTTAGGATTTCATTACAAATACCACAGGTACAATAATGTTTTGAAAGTTTTAACAAAGTTAAGGCTGTATGTAGCTTGTCACTCTATAGTTTTCAGATGATTACGTTTCAAAGAGGCAATAGATTTTAATAAGTTTTGGTATACACATAAAACATCATAAAATTCAGGTCAAGTTGGAATTTGGCTTCAGACGATTAGTTATGGCAATTTTTGATCTCCAAATGATTACTTTTTAAGAAGAAAATTGATTTTAATTTCTTTTGGTATATACTTTTTGGTATAAATATATATGTAATATGGTGAAATAATTTGTCTTTAGACCACTTTTTTTTCACATTACTAATTGCCCTTTTTCACATATTTTTAATGAAACATCAGCATTGTTTGAGCCATATGGAGGCAGTGGGAAACGGACAAAAGCCCTCCCAGACAAAAGCCCTCCTGTCAAAAAATGACAAGGCGGACAAAAGCCCTCCTGTGAAAATGACAGGGCGGACAAAAGCCCTCCCGTGAAAATAACAGGGCAGACATTATAAAGCCCTCCCATGAAAATGACTGGGAGGACAAAAGCCCTCCCGTGAAATTAACAAGACGGACAAAAGCCCTCCCGTAACAAAATAAATATGTTGTTGAATACCTGTTGTTGTTTTTTTTCAATGAACTCAACATTTATAAATTGTTACGTTTATTTCTTTTTGTTTTCAATTGGCCTAAGTATGTGTATGAGCTAGAATGGCCTTTTATTCTGAATATACCTTCCTGAAATGTTTAACGAGATAACTTTTTACACGAATGTCGTTAAAAACAAAGTCTCTTTTAAAAGTAATTGACTCATTACAAGGTACATTATAAATGTCTTTAACTTTTAAGTAAGATAATCTTAATTTCTTTTCATCATTTATTACTCTATTAATCAAAACTTCACATAGGAGTAATTCTTTATATCTACGTGAGTAGATTTTAGCACTAATTATTCAGATGCCTGTCAGATATGTGCTCAAGCTCACACAAACATGCTTATGCCAATGAAAAACAAAAATATTCATGATTACAATTTAAATATGTTGAGTGCATTGAAAAGAAAATATAAACTATTCAAGGTACATATATGTATTTGCTGCATGAGGGCTTTTGTCCGCCCTATTAGTTTCGCGGGAGGGCTTTTGTCCGCCAAGTCATCTTTATGGTAGGACTTTTGTCCACCTTGTCATTTTCACGGGAGGGCTTTTGTCCGCCTTTTCACTTTTTGACAGGAGGGCTTTTGTCCTACACTCGGACGCAGTAAAAGGCCACCATGTACATGTAATCAGAGATATTATATTTTCAATCCTAGTTGTGTGAATCCAGGAGTGTCTGTAGCCATGTACTTAATGTTGATGACTCACAGACTTCAAACCCATTGAGTGTAACCACTGTAGGTTTGTTATCCATTTAGCTTATGGAATGTTGCTGGTTAAAAGGGCACCTGAGGTTTTCCTCTACCTATACTATGTTGGTGTGATATAAAACCAAAATGTTCCACTGGAATCTCTAATACGTTTGCTACCCTAACATCATTCCTATCCTTGGCCTCTTTATCCAGGCTTGTCAACACTGAAGGAAGGCAATTCATTAGTGTTCTTGTCACCTTGTCATGGCACAGCCAACGGACATCCCTGACTTGACTGTGTTACTGGGTTTTGTTGGGGGATGCATTTATTGAATGCCGCCCCTTTCTAGATGTCCCCTGCCTTTTCAAAGAAAAAAGGGGGATATAGGTTCAAATGGGCCTGTTTGTCTATCACACATTAGTGTCCAGTCCATAACTAACCTATTCATTAAAGGAATTTAAAATAGCTTGGCACAAATTATTATTATAATACGACGATGTGTCATGCACAACATTCATACCCCTACCTATAGGACTAGGTAACCCTTGGTGATTAAAGGTCAACTCTGTTTAAATAAATATGTTTGGTCCAGTCAATAACTTTCTCATTCATCAAGGGATTTTAAAAATACTTACCAATGTGTTGTGCCCAAAACCCAGACACCTACCAAGGTCAAGGTCACACTTGCAGGTCAAAGGTTAACATGGTCTGTTTTAGGGTTTATTTTGTGCCTGGTCCACATTTCTTCATCATTCAAGGGCTTTGAAAATTCTGTGCACAAATGGTCATAATTATGAGATAACACCCGCAACACATGAACCCCTATTTTTAAGGTCATAGTCAAAGCTTAACATGGTAGGATTTTAAAATTACTTGTAAGAAATGTTTACAAAAATAAGACGATGTTTCATGGTCAATACCCGGACTGACCAGGTGAGATACCTGCTGTCTAAGCTTGACATTAACACCTGTCTTTTTCCCCAACATCACTGCTGCTCCATCACTACCCAAGGTACACATCTGCATTAGGGACAGATTGCAGGTTGATACCAACTTGAGGATGGCTGTTGTAATGGTATATCACAATGTGAATTTTCAATCTATAATGGTGTTCTTTCACATCAATCACACCAAAAATAAATACTGTTTGCATGAACTGTAATGTGTATGAACAGAACAGAACAACAATTTGCCATCTTCTGTTCAATGTCAACTAAAATTTAATATATAATAGACATAATATATTAAAAAAAAACTAATAATGCATTAATTTTAACAAAACAAATTGATTGATTTTAACTAAACAAAATTAAATCTTTTTTTTTTAAAACAGAATAACAGAACAATAAAAATTAAATTACACAATCTACTCTACTTCAGCACCAACTCCTTAAGCACATATATGTCACACTTCATTTTTTCTTTTATTAAGTTTCTTCAGTACTTCCTGCATACATGGCACACAGCCTTCTCAATGCACGGGATATTTTACTCTCTACCTGCTGCAAAGAAACCTCTACTTTGGATGATAAAGGAAAACCTTAACCAATCAACCTGTATTTTCTTACATATTGTTCTGAGAGTGATTTCCAGCATGACATTTTTAATGCCCCTGGGCATAATGTAATTAAACTGTCTGCCTATCTAACCTAAAATGGCAAGTTGGATTTTTAAGTTCTGCCTGTACCATTGGCTTTATAATTTACACACTAATCGATACAAAGTACAATCATGATCTGGGTGACCTTGAGAAGTTATTACCCTTTTACACTTTCAAAATGGATATGGTTAAAAATCTTATTTTATATGTTCTTTACCTCAAACTTACCTTGTTCTTTGACATTTTGGTAATCAATGCCACACAAGAGGCTGTAATAGTCTTTCCAGACATTGGTGGGTCATACAAAACTGGTAAACTGAAATGGCTGATCCCAATGTGGATTCCATAAAAGGTGAGCATTGATACCATAGCCCCAAGGCTAAGAAGTAGTGCTCCATAGTTCTCACCAAGGACTTGAGCGGCCTCTTCAAGAAATTGTTTTAATGGCAGCAAACTGTATGGTTCAGCTGGATGTCTGTAAAACATTGGTCTAGGTGCCCCTGTCCAATCTTGTAGTAGCACATAATTATGATTATTCTCATTCAACTGGAAATGCAAGTGCCCATATATAAATAATTATTGTGTCGTCTTCTTGCATCTGTTCAACTTCATTGTCTCGCACAACATACGTAGTGTTCATCAGCTGTCGTAATGGAGAAGCTGCTGATGCCTCATAGGGCCCTTCGTTTGTACATATCGCACACAATCATTTCAATTCTAATGTTCCTTTCACCATCTATCTGTATTGGTCTGCGGTCAAACCAATACTTCCCCCTAAAACAAACAAGAATTGGTTGAAGTGGGTGATGCTCCCCGAATAGGTTTTGGACACAGGAAAGTATACCTCTTGTAGTGTATGTCACAGACAAAGTTATAAAGTTGAAAGTGTAAAAATGAACAAAGGGTAATAACTCAAAAATTAAGCAAGGCAGAGTTAAGGTTCTTTTGCACTGCACTTCTATTTGATAAGATCAATGTTGCTACAAAGTTTCATGTTGATACCTCTTGTTGTTTCAAAGTTATGTCCCGGACAAGA